ACTATATTGATAAGTGAAAACAGATTCTTTTATGGCTTAAGCCATAAAAACTTATAGTTTATCAGTTCCCTCTCCACCCTGCAATTACCTACAGGAAGAGATTGGCCTTAGGTTTTATTTTATGAGTTTTATAGGGATACATTTACCCCAATTCACATACTATGAATTCCTGGAAAATGCTACAAATTGGAGAAAATAAGTGATTCCTTTGGATCAAAGACATTCCATTTAAACTCATGCATTTATCCATAAACAAGCTGCCCCAAATATTAAGTTAAAATGTGAAAGATATATTTTGCATGCATACATGCATAAATAATGCAATATAGGATAATTTGTAACCCTAGAGAGTGTGCTAGACAATAACAGTCTAATAACAAATCAAAATGTGGTAGAATAGCTATAGATATCATAATAATTAAAGAATCTCAGATTAAATTTACAGAATTCAGTTAGATACATTTGTGAATAACATTAGTGTTAAGGACAAGTAACATCACAAATATCTCAGATAAATTTTCAGAACAGTAAAACACTTTAAAGCATTCAAGTTTATTATTAATGAAAAATTACATGACAAAAATTTATCTATCAAACCCTTAGAAGGCCTAGAAGAAGTATAACTACAGACTGAATGAGAACAGTTTTTCTAATGGACCAGCTTGCTAATGGATTGGACTTATAATGAAAAAGAAGAATGAATCAATATTTAAATTTCCAATCAAGCTAGGATATTTTAATTCCTAACAATTAAATACTTAGATGAATGGCAAGAGTGTTCCAGGAGATAGCCTGGATTTTGTTTCAACCTGTTGTGGTAAATGTGAAGGCTTCTGTGAAAATGCAAGTTGTAGTTTTATAAACTGCCAGAAAGTCCACTTGTTAAAAGAAAAACTGTTCTCATTAAATGGGGGTTGTGTAATCACTGAATAAAATAAGAAAGAGTAATATTATTTAGTATTACAGATTTGGAATTAAAGAAGCTTTACAAAAACCAGTAACTTATACAACAGGCCACGTTGATGCTATTTGAATTTTATCACACCTGTTTTCATTGGAAGACATTCAAAAGTAATTATCTTCAAATCACAAATAGTTATTTATATATTCAGCGTGGCTTACCATGCTTTAATTGCACCAGACAATATGAAAGCTATGGAAACTGCTGTGCAATATGGTTGAAAATTAAAGGGCAGGTATGTTTTTAACTATATTCTTCATGTAATCATCTCAAATAAGAAAAGACCAAGTATGTAGGAGAAGACTTCCTTATGCTAGTTACTATTTCTCTTTGATTTGCAAATAAGTCCTTCATTTAAGGTAAATATGGGACTCAAGCCTGTATTGACTTAACTATTAACTAACTTTTATACCTCCTTTCAGGGTTCAGACAATGTCCTCTGATTAATCTGTCTGATAGTATCCTTAATTTGCTGTAGGCTATAAGCAGGTGCACAACTAGTTCTTAAAGTAGCATGTTTGTAATTATTTTCATGTAATTGAATATCATGATTGTCTAATATTTTATTTGCTTTTCCTATAGTACTAAAATGTACTATATGAGTGAATACCATTCAGGACAAAAGTCAGGGAAAAGGAAGCCATGCATACAAACATCAAATCTGAGAAAGAATCACCTCTGTCTGAGACAGATAACTTATATTTTCTAAGAACACTGTATCACATTACAATGCTACAGTATCAAACTTTACTTTTAGTGAAAAGTTCATCCTAACTTAGAATATCGAGATACGCATCTTTCCCTGTATAGAGACTTGAGAAAGTCTCATTTCCCTCACCTGATGTGTACTTGTAGCTATAATATCATCTCACACACTCCTAGACCCAAGCCACTCATAGTACCTGGCGCAACAGGGAAGTGGGGTGATAATGTGTAAGAAATAAGCTGGGCACAGGGTAAAGAAGTCACTCAGGGCCCCAGACTCAGCCATTCGGAAATGCTACCACTCCTTCTCTTTTTTCTTAGACCCCGATAATATCTCTCTTTTTTGGGCTAATATAGTACAAAGTTTGAACTTACAAATAACCCACCTTAAATTTTTGGACAGTCTTTTTCCTCTATCTTCTGTTTCTAAATATTTTCTCATCTTAATCCCTTAAATGAAAATAAGAGCATATAGATCCAAAGGGCTGAAATTAGGTAAAATTACATTTTTTTTGTGAAAGTGAGACTTTACTTTCCAGGATAATGGGTTATGAACACACTTGTGATCCTATCTAGAGGTTATGGAGGAAGGGACAAAATTAACTGTCAGTAAGCAGAAAGACCCTGAGGAAGTAGGGAAGTAGAATATGTTTAATTTGCAGCAATAAGAGAGGAGAAGAGCTTTAAAACACGCAAAAAGGAAGCTTGATTCAAGTCAAAACCTGGATAACTGAATGTTTGGGGAGTGCCTGCATAAACCAAGTATATTAAAACTAATTGATTGCACAGAGTGGAAATGTTATTAATATAATAGGGACTACCATTTAATAATCCGACTGGAAAAACATAATCAAAAGACCAACAGCACCTGAACTATTATTATTAGCGACTAGAGGCCCAGTGCACAAATTCCTGCATGGCTGGGGTCCCTGGGCCTGGCAGGCAATTGGGAACCTTTTGGGGCCATCTTGCCCAATCCCAATTGGGCCGGCTGGTGGAAGGGATAGTGGGAGATTGGCCAGCTGCAGGAGGTTGGCTGTGGGAGTGCACTGACCACCAAGGGGCAGCTCCTGCATCAAGCATCTGCCCCCTGATGGTCAGTGCATGTCATAGTGACCAGTTGATCAGTCATTCGGTCATTTAGGTTTTTAAATATACACTAGAGGCCCGATGCATGAAATTCGTGCATGGAGGGAAGAATCCCTCAGCCTGACCTGCACCCTCTCAAATCCGGGACCCCTCAAAAAATGTCCAACTGCCTCTCGCAATCCAGGACCACTGGCTCCTAACTGCTCACCTGCCTAACTGCCTGATCACCCCTAACCCCTCTGCCAGCCTGACTGATCACTCCTAACCTCCTCTGCCTCGCCCCAAACCTGGGACCCAGGATTCCCTCCTCTGGCTAGTTGCAGGTACCTGGGACCTGGCTTCCCTCCCTCTGGCCAGCTGCAGGCACTCAGGACCCAGCCCAGCTTCGCCTGGGCTGGCTGCAGCCACAGGGGATCACGGGGCAGGCAGCTTGTTCCTCTCCTGGGCCACAGCCACACGCACTGGTGCTCAGGACTGCAGGGTGGGTGGTTTGTCCCTCTCGCAGGCCACAGATGCAAGTATTGGTGCCCAGGAACGTGGAGCTTGCAGCTTGTTCCTCTCCCAGGTCATAGCCTGGCTGGTCCCCATTCCTCTCTTGTAAGCTCATTTGTGCCTGGCCCCATTCCTCTCTCCCCAGTGTTGAGTGTCTGATCCTTTAAGGAGTGATGGCATGACAACTTGCATATTAACTCTTTATTATATAGGATAGATTATTCCTAATTCACTGGAGTTATTTTGAAATAATTACTGAATAAGTTAATATCATTATTTCTCATGAGTACTTGAGAATTCAGTTCTTTTATTTTATCATTTAATTAACATATGCATCTATAACTAGCCTACAGGTTAAGACAAAAAACTGCTAGGCTGTCTTTTTCTGAGTTTCAGAATATACAAAAAAAACCCCAAAAAAACCACACACAGAAATGTAAACACCAGTGCCACGGGAATGCCTACATGAATAACATAAATTTCAAAAGTATGAAAAATAATCCAATGATTCAAATACATTAAAATAATGTTTTCCATAATTTTTATCTTTAATTTTAAATATTAAAGAATATATTTTATAAAATGTTACTGCTACTAAATATAATTGGAATACACACTATAATCAAGTATTTGTTATCATTACACTGATTAATTCCTCAAACACTGGTCTTTACTGGAGCACCACATAGTAAACCATCAAATATGTTGAATTAATCATATGGATTCATTACAAATAAAAAAATGGAGTCAATTTTTCCTAGAAAAAAATATCATCAATAAAACTCAAATATAGTAGAATATTATCTTCATTTTCTTAAAAAGAATTTTTTAGTAGCTTTTTAGTAGCAGGAAATGAAGAGCTGTACTGAATAGAAAGGAAAAGAAGTAAGATTATGCTTTGAGAACAGTAAGATAAACTCTATATTATCTTATAAATTGATAGTGGGAACTATCAATTGATATATATTTTATATAAATATTATACTCAGATACTAATTTTAATAATCTCTCTTTATATTATCTTTTATAATTATTTTTAATATAGTAAATGATACTGTGATTATTAAATGTCTTTTATTGCCTGGTAGTAATATAAGAGGGATAAAATACAGGATTTTACTTGATAATAATAATGCCTAGTAACATATAATAAAATGGAAGTATAATTCCACAACTACAAATCATTCACTCTAAATGAAGCTAGTGCTCAAAATAACATCTATTTAAAAAAGGGTATAAATCAATTTCCACATATATATTTGCATTACTTTATAAAAAGTATAAAATATTTTTAAATATGTTTTTATTGATTTTAGAGAAGAGAAAGAGAGAGGGATAGAGAGACAGAATGATGGATGAGAGAAAAACATCAATCGGCTGCCCCTACACATCCCCTACTGGGGATGAAGCCCACGAGCCAGGCAGGCACGTGACCTGACCAGAATAGAACCTGTAATCTCTTGGTCAACACTCAACCACTGAGCCACACCAGCTGGGTGAAAAGTATAAAGTATTCTTAAACTAAAAAGGCATTCCATGTATAACATTAATATAAATAAGTACGTGTAAAAATGATACAGATCTTATTTTCCCATATCGTGGCAAAAATTAGTAAATTTTCTTCATTAATTAAAAAAAATATGAGGGATATAACTACTGACAAAAGGGAGGATAAGAATTTTGTACAAGGACATTATTATAACCAGTGTCAATGTTATATCAGTTTTAATAATGCAGAAATAGACTGCCTTACCATTGGTGCTGTATCTGCATGATGGTCACAAGGCATTCCTTCTATGTTGATAATTCCTGTGAAAAGAAAAAAGTGTGACTATCTGCTTATTATACCTACCCATTTTATTTTGAAGACATTTATGTCACAAAGACACGACCCCTACAGCTTACATATAAGAAAAAAGCCTCACTTGTACGGCAGGATCCTTTAAAGTTGCATCATGAATACTATGGTCAGAAACAGTTGGAGAGTTTAGCTAAGACACTTGACTCAAGGCGAGCTAAGCCAGTTTTTCCATCCCAGCAACAGAGCAAGATGTGTCCATGACCTGCTCTAGGCTCAAAATTATATATACCATTATCCCTGCTCTGCTGCATCTCTTCCTTGAAAGATTTATTTCTAACTTGAGGTCATCAAGTTTTCATAAAGAAGTATCACAAAGGCTAGAAAAAAAAATCGCTTCATTTTCTCAAAAAGAATAAATAAATCTATTCGAATTTTCCTTTGACCTGGCCTCCTCCTATGACATATTGTGCTGTTTCTTCATCACCGGGGAATATCTGGAAAATGAAAATTCCCTTTGATTCTCTCCTTTAAATGATAATAGTGACTGAAAAATTCTTTTATCATGTGTGGTTTCATCTTTTTTGTTCCCAATGCACTTTACTGCATTTCTTTGTAATAAACGGCTTCTAAGGAGATAACCCACTGCATCTCATCGGCCAAGATACAGGTTCAAAGTTAAGCTCAAGTTAAAAATGAACACAGTGTGGGTCTCATTTACTTTACAATCTCTGTCCATCAGCAAAACAATGAGTGAGGATCTCAGAAGAGATTGTTCAAATAATTCTAAAGGCTATCACATGCAGGTTAGAATTATTGTTATCAATTAGCAAAATTCAGAGTTGACACAAAACACTATTCCCTCTCACAGAGATTTAACTTATTTTTCTTAAAATATTACTGAGATTAACACAAAACAATCTTTTTTTTTTTATCACTTTGCAACAATAGATCCAAAATAAATACAGTACCATAAAACATGATTTTTAAAAAAGTTTTGGGTTCATTTAAAAAATTCTCTCACTATCTACTTTTAGCCAGTCAAGGCCAATACTACTTTTATCCAATCAACTAATATTTATTGAATGGCTATTGAGATTTCAGTAATAAAAGATAAATTATAAAGGATAAATTATGATTTCTGACCTCGAATCTAGAAAAAAAGATATCCTTTTCTGAAGAAATATCACACAGCAAATGAACAGTTTTGTCTTAACTGTAATAAATCTTTAAAGTAATTTTGATGGGCAGACACATTTTTATACCTATATTAACATTGGCCTTGAATTAAAAAAATTAAAAACCTGAGTAAAAAATATTGTAAAATATTCAAGTAATGCCAACTCTTAATGCAAGATTTTAATAATACTTTAGTGTATACAAGAAATGGTGAAATTCCCACTTTCCCAGCTCCCACATCTCTCTCCAGCTACAACCATTAAGATTGATGTGGCACCCATTTTCCTTCCTTTAAAATCTTTTCTGGAAAAAAAAATCTTTTCTGTTTCTTGTAAACCATTGGAAATTGTTTGCTGAGCAACATTTAATCTTTCTGCAAGTTGTTTTTTACGTTGACATGCATCTTCATCCAATAATGCTTGTAACTGTTGGTCTTCAAACTTTTTCAGTTGTCTTGGACATTCTTTTTCTTTCACATCAAAATAATCACTTTTAAAGTGTTGAAACCAGCGTTCAAAAGTGTCTTGAGATGAAGCATGTTCACCATAAGCTTCCCAAAGTATTCAGCAGGACTTTTCTTCAAAATTAAGTAATGAATTAAAACTTTCCGCAAATGATCTTTTGTTGGCACGAAATTTGACATTTTTAAGTGTAAAAATATCTATGATGTGAACACCTTCAAAAAATTTGACATATGAAGTTTTGAATCTTGTTATCAATACAACAAAATAGCATGCATATCAAATTGCATATATATCAACACATGTGTAACTCCATCTATTGAAAAAAAAATCCAATTAACCGATACACCTAGTAAATAGCCTTCTCAATGAGGAATTATTTGTCACTACATTAAATATACTCTGCAAAAACAGTTTGTTCACTTTTATTAATATAGCAAGCACAATCCCATCTACTTCTCCCTGTCAAAAATATGTCTCTTGTGAATATTGCCAGTGCTGGGCATGAGCAGTGCTCTGTACTTCATTTATACAAGGTTGTGTACAACCTTGCCCCTCACTCTCCCTCTGTTCTCACTGTCTTCTACTTTCCCCTCATTCCTTCTAGTCCAGCCATATTGGCCACTTTAAAAAAATATTTTTTATTGATTTCAGAGAAGAAGGGTGAGGGAAAGAGAAATAGAAACATCAATGATGAGAAAGAATCATTGATTGACTGACTCCTGCACGCATCCTATTGGGGACTGGGCCTGGGCATATGCCCTTGACCAGAATTGAACCCAGGACCCTTCAGTCTACAGGCAGACGCTCTATCCACTGAGCCAAACCAGCTAGGGCCATCTTTGCTGCACAAAATGCACATCAAACACATTCCAGACTCAGGATTTTGGTTGGAGATGCTTTATTGCCCAGACACCATGATTTTTTTCTTCAAAATTCTACTTATCAGCTTCTTTCTGAAGCATTCCTTCACCATCTCATTTAAAAGAGCAATTATCCCTTTTCCCTACTTTGCTTGCCCTTTATTTCATATTTGTTTTCTTATTGTCTGTCTCTTGGCCAGTAAACTGAACCAAGTCTTGGATTTTTACCTGTTTGGTTTTTGTTGTTGTTGTTGTTTTTTTTTTTTGTGTGTGTGAGTGTTTTATACAGTCACATAACACATATAATACTGCCCTTTAGAATTAAAAAACAGAAAATAAAACAAGAAAAAAAATTAGAAAGGATTTAATTGGGGGAAAAAAGTATTTTTGTTTATTACACTGGTATGGTATGGAGAATGTAGGAAGAAAGTAACTCATTTTCTCAGTTCTATCCATAAAAGATATCATTTAAATTCTAGGAGAAAATGATATATTTAAATTCTGAATGAAAGCATGATAATTTAGAAAATGTTTTTCATACTCAAAGCAAAGCAACGTCATTTTAAGATATGCTTATTATGCTATATACATTTTTCCCCCTGTAAAAGTTCGATGAGTATTAAGTACATTAATTTAACTAACTGCTATACTATCTATGTATATAAAAGTCTAAGTGACCAAACAACCGAATGAACGGTCTACGGGTTGCTATGATGTGCACTGACCACCAGGGGGCAGGAGCTCAATGCAGGAGTTTCCCCTTGGTGGTCAGCGAGCTCCCATAGCCAATCTCCCATGGTCCCACCCACCTAGCAGCTTCCTGCAGTCCCTCCCCCCACAGCTGGCCGGCCCTGATCAGTGTGATCGCCAAGTAGCTAAGGGATCCCACCCATGGACAAATTCATGCACTGGGCCTCTAGTGCATTTATAACTGTCTTTAACATTGGCTTTTAAAGTGTTTTACTTTCAACTCTTTGTTAAATCTTCTCTGGAAAATACATAGATTAAAAAGATGGAGAAGACATTAAACATTAATCCTCATAATGTTACTATAAAAATAAAGAAGGAAAAAAGAAAAACAAAAGACAACCTCCCTAAAGCTCCCCTTCTCCCCATGGCAAACTTTGTTGATTTTGAATTAGCCGAAATATAAATATTTGGCTCACACAAAATTTAACAGCAATGAGATGTGAAAGACTTGATTCCTTTCAAAAGCAGGGCAAGTATGTGCAACACACACACACACACACACACACACACACACACAGTCAGTCACACACATTTATATGAAAGAAACTGGAGTGCTTTATAATTATTCACTTATTCTCAGAATATCAGAACACCCCTGGGAGGCAGGTGTGAAGCATGTAGCATAGTAACTAAAATTGTTACATGGCTTCTGACATATTAACCTGCCACAAAATTCAGATTCCTACTCCTAAACCATCATTTGGAGGAGTCGTAAATGGACAGTATTGTTCTGTATTATGTAGTCAACAAAGAATTCTGAGCAGGGCCATGAATCTGAGTGCATTTTACAAGGATAATATATTTAATCAGATTGATTCCTTTCTCTGTGCTCCGTGTTTTGTGCTTATCTACTATTGAACTCAACCCCCTTAGACTATAACTATTTCTTTGCCTGTTCAATTCTTTAACTAGTCTGGGAGGACTTTTGAGAGTAGTCTTTCATTTTCCATTTCTCCAGGGCTTGGCTTAGTCCCTATTACATGGTAGACTCTACAGAACATTGGATAGTGAACTGTATGGATTAATTTTTGATAAAGTATAAAAAGGCCTTTGTTTTTTAAAGTGGGTGATAACTTTTGTTAGGGTGATTTTACTAAAATAAATTTTTGGTTCTGCTAAAATAAAAAAAAGATCTGGGTATTAGTAAAGAAAAAAAATCATTTTCAATTTTTATTCCTTGTAAAATTATAGTTGAATTTTTATAGTGGAGAAATTTGCAAAAGTAAATTGCCTGAAATTAGAACAAAGTTCTACTTTTTACTTAATGAACATTTATAATGCAAAGACCTCTGAAATTATTTTTTAAAATGACCAGTCACTCTATTTACTCATTTTTGCAGTTTCCATATTTATCATAAACTTTGCTCTTAAACTCATAGGCAAGTTACTAAGAGCAATACTGAGATAGATTTTTTTTTTTTTAAACATTTTCATTCACTTTCATTGAAGGGAGCTTCCTGCAATCACACATTTAAAATTCTGGAAAATACAAATCAACATTACCTAGCAATCTCTGTCATCACCACAAGGTCTGGTCCTTAAACCTAATTTCCATCATTAGCTAACGCTTTCAATAAGCGGTAGGTATTCATTTCCAGAAAACACTGCCAGTAAGTTCTATGATATCACAGTCTGCTCGCTCTGCAGGCCAAACTGACTAAGCCACAAAACGCAAAAGCATGCACTTAGTTAGTCCAAGGGAAACCTGAAGGCTATTCTGACCACAGTTTTAGAAAAGTATAACCTAACTGAGAGTAA